CTTTGGTGAAGCCGTTACGACGTCGCCCTGGTGAAGTCGTTTTGGTGAACTCGAAACGACGTTGTTACGACGTCGCTCTGGTGAAGTCGTTTTGGTGAACTCGAAACGACGTTGTTACGACGTCGCTCTCGACGTCGTTTCGAGTTCACCAAAACGACTTCGCCAGAGCGACGTCGTAACGACGTCGTCTTCGCCCTGTGGCAAATTGGGCATGTGTGCGTACACATGTATATTATTATTAAGCATTAAGGTGGACCGTCTTGGATTGTTTGGTTTAGTCTACAGGCCTGAACACAGTTAAATTGATTAAATAAATGAAATATTGCAATGTGGGTATCAAACTAAAGAATTTAAGAAGACTTACAGTCGAAAATATGTTTGAGATACAATATAAATATATTATTTATTTATTTATTTATTGAATTAAGTCTACAGTACAAAGTACCTTACAGACTAGCAAAATAAAATATACTTATGTATATACAATGATAAACTTATAAAGTAATTGAGTTTAAAGTTTTTATAAATGCACATCTGGATAAAGAAAAATCAAGCAACTGTGACTTAAATAGTTCAGTTCTCGAAATGCACGAGCAATAGGTGCATTACTTGCATAATTAGTTTTGTAGTTTTCCCCGTAAAAAGGGTANCTGTGACTAAAATAGTTCAGTTCTCGAAATGCACGAGCAATAGGTGCATTACTTGCATAATTAGTTTTGTAGTTTTCCCCGTAAAAAGGGTAGATATTTCGGAGACTTGTTTGTGGAACGTTAAAGCTTATCCGCTCAAGTAAAATTGGACAATCAGTAATGCAATTAATTATGTTGTAGATATATGACAAGGAAAGGACAGTTCTTCTCTCTTCCAAAGAGCTCAAATTAATTAACAAGAGCCGAGAATTGTAAGATGGAATAGGATTCTCAAACCTTAGGGAACGCAGTGCATGTTTAAGAAAAACTTTTTGAACTCGTTCAAGTCTATTAATTGAAAATTGGTCATATGGTCTCCAAATTATAACTGCGTATTCCAAATGCGAACGGACGAGAGCTTTGTATAGGAGCTTAAATGTATACGGATCGTAGAATTCTGAGGTATTACGGGGAATAAAACCTAGAACTGGGTACGATTTAGACAGTGTAAAATTTATATAACCGTTGAAAGAAAAATTGGAGTCAAATATCACTCCAAGATCCTTAGTTTCCATTACATTATGTAGGACATGATTATCGATAGAGTACAGCTTGTTCACAAGATTCTGACGTCTGGAAAATGCAGTGTGAAAGCATTTGTTTATGTTTAAAGAGAGCCGCGACTTCGAACACCATAAATGGAGATTATTCAAATCACACTGAAGTCTTGCGGCGTCTTCTGCATCCTTAACGGTAGAAAACCTTCAAATCATCAGCGTAGGTAGAGCAAATATTTTGAAAAATAAAAGCAGTTACTTAAGCCATTTATAAAAAGAATAAATAACAGGGGCCCTAAAATGCTTCCTTGGGGAACACCTGATGTAGCCACAAAATGGTTTGACAATACACCATAAATTGTAACCAGGCAGCGTCTATCTGACAAGTAAGACTCACATCATTTCAGCAGTGGAATTCTGGCAATCCCTACGCTAAATTTCCATATCCAAAATTCTCTAAATGAAAAGCAGCTTGGCCTAAAAGTACGCAACATGGAAAAGTAATATATGCAATGTGTAATCAACCAAATCTGGCAGTATGAGGGGCATGTAACTAGATGTTGCGTGTTTTTAAGCGTACCTGCTATTCCTTTGGAGATTTTTAGCGATCAAAATTAGCGATAGCAATGTCGGCCGCTGTGGTGTAGTGGTAAGCAGTGCGCGCTTTCACTCATCAGCACCTGGGTTCAAGCCCTGGTCAAAAGCAACATCCCAAAAAATATAGAAAAAGGTTTTTTCTTAACAGCGGTCGTCCCTCGGCAGGCAATGGCAAACCTCCGAGTNTATTTCGGAGACTTGTTTGTGGAACGTTAAAGCTTATCCGCTCAAGTAAAATTGGACAATCAGTAATGCAATTAATTATGTTGTAGATATATGACAAGGAAAGGACAGTTCTTCTCTCTTCCAAAGAGCTCAAATTAATTAACAAGAGCCGAGAATTGTAAGATGGAATAGGATTCTCAAACCTTAGGGAACGCAGTGCATGTTTAAGAAAAACTTTTTGAACTCGTTCAAGTCTATTAATTGAAAATTGGTCATATGGTCTCCAAATTATAACTGCGTATTCCAAATGCGAACGGACGAGAGCTTTGTATAGGAGCTTAAATGTATACGGATCGTAGAATTCTGAGGTATTACGGGGAATAAAACCTAGAACTGGGTACGATTTAGACAGTGTAAAATTTATATAACCGTTGAAAGAAAAATTGGAGTCAAATATCACTCCAAGATCCTTAGTTTCCATTACATTATGTAGGACATGATTATCGATAGAGTACAGCTTGTTCACAAGATTCTGACGTCTGGAAAATGCAGTGTGAAAGCATTTGTTTATGTTTAAAGAGAGCCGCGACTTCGAACACCATAAATGGAGATTATTCAAATCACACTGAAGTCTTGCGGCGTCTTCTGCATCCTTAACGGTAGAAAACCTTCAAATCATCAGCGTAGGTAGAGCAAATATTTTGAAAAATAAAAGCAGTTACTTAAGCCATTTATAAAAAGAATAAATAACAGGGGCCCTAAAATGCTTCCTTGGGGAACACCTGATGTAGCCACAAAATGGTTTGACAATACACCATAAATTGTAACCAGGCAGCGTCTATCTGACAAGTAAGACTCACATCATTTCAGCAGTGGAATTCTGGCAATCCCTACGCTAAATTTCCATATCCAAAATTCTCTAAATGAAAAGCAGCTTGGCCTAAAAGTACGCAACATGGAAAAGTAATATATGCAATGTGTAATCAACCAAATCTGGCAGTATGAGGGGCATGTAACTAGATGTTGCGTGTTTTTAAGCGTACCTGCTATTCCTTTGGAGATTTTTAGCGATCAAAATTAGCGATAGCAATGTCGGCCGCTGTGGTGTAGTGGTAAGCAGTGCGCGCTTTCACTCATCAGCACCTGGGTTCAAGCCCTGGTCAAAAGCAACATCCCAAAAAATATAGAAAAAGGTTTTTTCTTAACAGCGGTCGTCCCTCGGCAGGCAATGGCAAACCTCCGAGTGTATTTCTGCCATGAAAAACAGCTTCTCATAAAAATACAATCGCCGTTCGGAGTCGGCGTAAAACTGTAGGTCCCTCCGCTTTGTGTGACAACATCAAGGCGCACGCCACAAGTCGGAGGAGAAGCTCGGCCAAACACTAACATATGTGTAAGCGCCAATCTATTATTATTATAAATGCGGGAATCCGGCTGCTGGAGTGAGGAATGAAATCCTCGACAGGCTAACTTGTTTAGAAGGATCTTATGAGATACCCTATCGAAGGCCTTAGAAAAGTCGGTGTAAATACAGTCCACTTGAAGTCCTGCCAAAAATGCTGATATACAAAATTCACTAAAAGCCAATAAATTAGACACAGTCGAACGTCCAGAGCCGAAGCCGTGCTGATTTGAGCAGATTAAAGATTTGACCGCAAAATAGAGTTTGTCCTTAACAACAATTTCAAAAAGATTAAAGATGGTCGGAAGTTTCGAAATCGGTCTATAATTCCGGACATCATTTTTACTTCCGGTTTTGAGGAATGGTGTGATTGTAGTTATCTTACATATTACACTGGTTGAGTTTGAGCTACCTGTTTTTGAAAAAAAAACGAAATGGTCTGACTTTCACATTAGCAGGCCATAGCGATGCATCCAATATTTTTTGGTAATTTGTTGAGGCAACACCCAGTTTAAAGTTTATACGTTTGTGTTTACTTACGTCATTTTTCATCCGACTTCCAAAAAAGGAGGAGGTTATCAGTTCGTCCGAATATTTTTTTTNGTCATTTTTCATCCGACTTCCAAAAAAGGAGGAGGTTATCAGTTCGTCGGAATATTTTTTTTTTTTTTTTTTTTTTTTTGTTATGTATGTTCCCGCATAACTTTTGACCACCGATTTCGATAATTCTTTTTGCATCGGAAAGGTAGTGTCTCAGAGGTGGTCCCATACTAATCTGGTTAAGATCCGATCAGCGGATCATGAGATATATATATATATATTTTTTTTATATGGGAGTTGAAGTCGGTTTTTTTTTGCTAAAAATTACTAGTTTTATGAACATGCAGCAGGAAAAAGAATCTATAGCAATATCTGCATGTTAAGCTACATACTTTTTATGTCATCAACAGAAACTTTCGGCTCAAACGAAGATAAATTAACCCACTTGTTACGAACACTTCGGTTCAAGCGGCATTGTTGCTTGGATCTTTGTTATCACTTAAAGAAGATGGTTGAGAAGAAGTACCAACAGCGGTCATCTCACAGTCATCTCTTACTGCGTTGTTGTTTTTGTCAGCAGGTGAAGACGAGTTATCAGCAGCCAGTGTAGAAGGGCGAAAAGTATGCGAACTATTTTTGTTTACGTTATCTGCATGCTCAACAGAAGAGCACACACTAGTTGGTTGACCAACAACAACAACACCATTGTCATCTGCGAGGGAGTTAGCACCAACAATACTTTCAGATGCAGTAGCAGCAGCAAAAGAAGTGGAAGAATTCAAGTTCAAGGGCAATTTACTGAGGTCAGTGACCTTAGATCTTGATCGGGTAGTTCTGAAGTTTACATTATCTGCTGCATCACCATTATTCGCGTTGTTGTTAGCAACTTTTGATGATACGAGATTTTTCGGGTTTTCCGAATTATGGGCGACTTTTTTCTCCACTAAAAACAGCCATAATTTCTTTTATCGAATACATAGCATTCTCAAGCTTAGCCAAGCAAAAAAGATATTCACATAGCAGCACGCATCACATTTAAACATCAGATTTTCGTTAGATTTTAAGAGTTTAAAGCTGGCGGAATTTAGCTTTGCGCATTTCAAATAAAATGCGCGAACAAATTCCGCATGAAACAAAATCACAACCCACGCACTGCGAGCCGCAATTAGAACAAAAAGACATCGCGAAAGTTTTTACATATTTTTGTATATGCATAAATATGAAGTACACGACGGAGCTAAGTAATGGTGCATTTACATGGTGTTTAGGCCACTAGCCTAAACCAAACTTTGAAAGGGTGAACCACCCTAATGTTCGTGTGCATATATACATACGAAAATGAGCATATAAATAATTGCATTACATTTCCCGCCAACTATTATAACGATTTAGCCAAATTTCCCCTCAACACAGCTCGCTGTTTGGGGGTTCGGCAAAAGGTGTCAAAAACTAGCGCGGTCATTCCATTTTTATCACAATTGAGCACGGACGCCTTTTTAGCCACCACCTTTCATCTCACACCACAAGGTTATATTGTAAAATATTCTCCGATACCCAAACAATCTCAATAAAGATTTTAGCAAGTAATTATTGATTTTCTTTTCATTTAATTAAACTTGGATGCCCTGCAGGAGTTGCGGGCCACATACGCATCCCAGGTTGACATGGTCCATCTCCCCGGTATATGATCACAAAGTGACCAGCACCTACATACTCAACATACACTTGCAAAGGTTCACTGCAGCATNACTAGCAACAGATATTATAGTGACATAATCAGTACAGTTGGGATCAAAAATCAGTACAAAGCCATAAAAATCAGCTCATTTTTAAGCGTATTTTTTATTATTAACNTAAATTCAAAGAGCATTCCATAACTTCAATCAATATAAATACGCAAGTCCTGGTTCTACCGCAATTCATCGGTAATTTACCGACTTGCGAAGTAAACGCTAAGACTAAACAAGCATTTCCTAGCCTACTACTAGCGGACAGCAAATTCTTCGAAAATGAACAAGTTGACCTTATCCTAGGCGGTGACATTTATGCCCAGATTATGGCATCAAAATAAACGTGTCACGGACCCTGCTTGCTCAAGAAACCGTCTTCGGCTGGATATTAACTGGCCAGACGGAGCCAAAGTCTCCAACCAAAAAATGCGTATTTAACCAATGCGTAAATAACCGACAACTGTCCTTGAAAAGCTACTCAAGAACCAAAAATCACAAACNTATAAAAATATAGTTAATTCTACAACAAAAGACATGTGAGTTTAAGTCTCAAACTTTCTAGAAAATTTATAAAAATTGAGAAAATTTAAAAAAAAATTGTAGCCCATTCAGTTTCAGTAGAAGAAGATCTCGAGTCAGAATCTGTTTGCATATTTTAAGCTACAAATTTAAAAGATATTTAGTTGGTGTGCTTATTAAATACAACATTCACATTAAAATGTTGACTAAAAGGTATATTACCGAATTATCGCTAAACGAATTTTCGAGTACGAATGAAATTTAATAGTGTTAAATGTGTAAGTATGTGCAAGTAAAATTACAGGTGGTCGAACATCAAAAATCAAAGTAAAGCTACATATATCATATCCAAGAGTCGGTAGTTTGCACCTTTTCCAAATTTTTAGAACTTACATTGCCCCTAGCAGTAGTCGTCTTAAGTTTGAAATACTGACAGCCGATTCCTCAGTGGATGTTTAATTATAATCAAAAGATTATCTCTTATTGTCATCTTCTCAGTGTACTTAATATATGATTAACTCACCACCACCTTTCATAAGATTTATTTATGGCAAAACCAGCTTTTCCTAGAAATCCTGTAAAACCTGCAAATCGTGCTTGCAAATTGGGTTGGGTTGAATCCAAACAGTTTGTTATTTTGCGAAATCCTAGGAAACGAAACAATTACAAGCTGACACCTTTTTAATAATGGTTCAAGTTTAATTAATGCTTTCAATCTGCTCACACGTATGAGTTGTCAAAAACCATTGTTTTGAACATGTAAACCTCAAGTAAATGTCAATTACACCAATTTACAAAA